GAGTATATGTCGAAAATCATATTTTGATATGTACAAGGTTTTTTGAATAATGCTAACTCCTCAAGATGTAACATCCAACATCCTCTTCTTTCTTCGATTTTCATGACATTTCCGTATCATTCCTTTTCAATTTTTTTCTTTTTGGGAATGTTGAATATGTAAGCACAAATTTGATGTAGTTGGGATTCAATCCCATGACCTTAGCAACAACTTCAATTATTCTAATGTGTCTCCTTTAACTAGAGAAAATACCATCAAATTTCAAAATGACGAGCATTTTAATATGATGTCCACATCAAATTAGTAAGTAGTCATGAACCACCCTATTACATTGACTATCATCTTCCAAGTCAAAGCAAGGGTGTGGGACTTTCTTCAACCTAGTTCTAAAATAATACCTTGAGTCTATATCTTATAAAATGATGTCCACATCCAATTAGTAAGTAGTCATGAACCACCCTAGTACCTTGACTATCATGTTCCAAGTCAAAGCAAAGGTGTGGGACTTTCTTCAACCTAGTTCTAAAATAATACCTCCCGAGTCTACATCTTATAAAATGATGTAATTTCTCTTCAACACATGATTTGGCATCCAAGAATATTACAATGCCTAGAAATGAAAGTGGGATGAACTTCTGAAATGCATACTATTTATTACTGATTCAATCAACCGATAAAAAAAGACTTTATTGCTAAATTTCCTTACAAACTCCATCCCTCTTGCCAACGTGTAAAATCTTATTGATGGCTGATTCTACCATCCCAAGTTAATGCTTTCTCCTTGGTTCTTCGGATCACCAAGCTTTTGACTCATTTGTCACTATTTTCTAACAAATTGGCCATAGCTATAGGACATCACAGCGGTTGTGGTGGCCATAATAATGGAGGCTGAATTGATGATGGATATAGTCATGGAGGAATATCCCAGTTACCTTCTTGTTATTGCGGCTGCACTAATTAGCCTCCTTCTGGAATCAAACTAGCTCCATTTAATGGGTTTACACCTAGAATTCATCATGACAACTTTATTTGCCAAATGTTTTGCTCAAAACTGTGGGATACACTATCTGACACTGCCAATTTTCCTGGTTCAAGTCTTATTATATTCTTTTCTTTGTCATCACCAATCAAAATTGGCCTTTGTCGTGAATGAATAGAAGTAAGCTTTCCTTAAATATGATCTTGTTGAAGTCACGAATATGTAGCAACCACTAGAGTACATCATTCATCAAGGGGTGAGTAGAATATGCAAACTGAGCAAGATCATATGTGAATATAATTCAGCCCTCAGGCTTGGTTTTATCAAATGCCCTGGCTGAGTTGGCCTTCAAAATAGTATAATAGATATCTTCATCCTCCTAAAGTATAATTACTATGGTTCTAAAAGTAAATAGAACAAGGAAACTAAAGTAAAACATCGCCTACAGAAGTGTTTTTTAACTAAGATCTAGGCCAATCCAATAAATTTTTTGAGAATAGAATTTGCTTACAACAAGGAGTTCCCCTATCTCTCAAGAAAAGCATTCCAGTATTCTTAAAGAAACTGATAGGTTACAAGTTGAGAATCAGAAGCTAACAAACAAAGAAGAAATGCATGGAAATGTCACTCAATTTTAATGGCTGGTTTGAAAATTAATCTATCACCAAACCACCTGCCTCTTTTATTTTAGAGGTTGTGTAACTCAACACATGCAAAGCCTAAACAAGAATAATGAGAAGCTATTCTACATATTTTCAGACATATCAAGACGTCTCCCAGAGAACATTTGTTATACAAAAAAAATGAGCAGCTTAATGTAAAATCTTTCTTTAATGATAACTAGTTGGGTTCAATGATGAAAGAAATCCATATTTGAGTATTTTATCTTTGCAGGAGGCAATGTGGCCACATGGAAGAGCAAGAAATAAATATTGGTGGCTAGATGAAGTGCTGAGATAGAATTCAAATCCATGAAACAATCTAAAGTGTAAGAAGACGGGGGCTATGGCCTTTCCAAGAGACTATAGCTTTCCAAATGCACAACCCACAGTATTAAACTATGGTAATCATGCTTCTATCTGTATTGCTAGTATTCCTATGTTTCATGAAAGAAGCACAACTATCACTTCATTCAAGAGGTGGTGCTTTCAAAGAAGATTGCTACTCATATTTACATCTCAAAGCCAATGGAAAATATATGTACTGAGGTTTTGGATCCACTTCAATTTTCCAAGCTATGTAATAAGTCTGTAAACTAATTGGTATAAATGTTACAATTTAAGGAGGTTGTTGGAAAGTGCAACATTTGAAAATAATATTATTAGAAAATGCTGATTAGTAGTAGATAAATTTTTGTATGTTCTTTGTATTTCACAATCGATAGTGTCACCTTCTTACCTTCCTTTTGTATTCTCCAAATATGCTCATACTTTTGTATGTTCTTTGTATTTCACAATCGATAGTGTCACCTTCTTACCTTCCTTTTGTATTATAGTCACTATCAATGAACAATAACATTAATATTTCCCCCTCTAATAGCTTGAAAAGAATTTTCAAAGGCAAAGGCATGCTAAACAAAATTTAACTCAAGATGGGTCATAGTTTTTAATAACTTAACAACAGATTATGAACCCAAAGGCACTATGTAGCTCTTGAAAGCATCATGATCGACGAGAGGGAGATGTAAACTACCATTGTTTGCTGTTGGAACACATTCCTTCCATCTAAAGAATTCAAAGGTGAGGATGTTTCTCAAAATCACTAAACCTAACGCGATCTTTACATTTATTATAAAATCTATAAAAATTTCATCGTTCTTGCCAAAAAATAGATATCACCCTCAATTTTTTAACATCGTTGACTTAGCATTCAAATGAATTAAAATCACCATAAAAAGAATTCACTTGATCCTACAAAAGATTATCTCCATGCAGCAAAAGGTTGGAGAAAATTTCCTATAATCATGCTCAAGCAGATCACCCTTCAAATTAGGTGAATTTCTATCAAGGAAAAGAAAAGTTGTAACCCATGATAAAGTTTGTTAAGTCAACATCCTCAGATTTTCCCACATTCCATCCTTGTAGGAAAAAACTATTTAAATTATTTATAATGGGGACAAGGCAACTATTTTCTACTAAAAATGATAAATTTTTACCTGAAGGAAAATACAGGGACGATTGAAGCCATCCAAGTCCATTCATAAAAGGTTTCAATCTAGTTAAACAAAGGAGCGAAAATACAAAAACTCACAATGATAACTTTTATCGTAACCTTCTCAATGAAAAAGGTAAGAAGATGGAATAATAAGTATAATTTTAGTCTAAGTAAAAAAATATATATAAAAATAGAATGTTTCAACTTATGGCCAAAGGCATTATTAGAATAAGACTTAGAATCATCCAAAGTTAAGACAATGCTAGAAGAAACTTCCATGCACACTTTCAACTTTATAGCTCTAGTACTCACCCCTCAATTGGATTCGCTGCCTGCTACAATTATACCCTAACGTTGGCAATATCTTTGTGACTTGGTCCCTATAGCTTTATCATAATGTTATTGAAGATCTAACGCCAGCTTTTCTACTAACTTCATCATTTGTTTGTTTCGCTAACAGATTTTAGCATTGGTTAACGACTCAGCTCCCACTCATCTTGTAGCTTCGCTACTTGCCTGTCATGCAGCTCTGTTGTTTTCCCTTTTGCAAGTTCATTAATTGGTTTCACTGTTTGCCCCACTAAAAACTTCATCATCAAGTTTTTAGCTTCGGTTATTGACTTAGCTCTCACTCATCTTGTAGCTTCACTACTAACCCGTCATGCTGCTCGTTTGCTTTCCCTTTTGCAAGTTCATTAATTGGTTTCACTGCTTGCCCCACTAACAACTTCCTCATCTGCCTTAGGGCAGCTTTGCCTTATGCATTTTGCAGCTCATTCCTCAATGGGCTTAGCAACTTATTCCACTCATAGTTTTGATTCTAGCTTCACAATCAATTCAGTTGCTTGCTCCGTTTTCAACTTTGTCACATGCTTCTTCATTTTATGGCCATTTGCAGCACTAGTGCTATTTTTTTTCGAAAAAATCATCGCTAGAAATTTATCCAATCTCATCGCTTGCTTCTCCACAGCATTTGAAATCTAACCCTTTATCAGAAAAAGCATTATCAAAGTTATTAAGTGGCAAGCTCAATCATCCACCTCAACTGCGCAGCAACATCTAAAAACCTCCCTCTGATGAGAAAAAATCTAATCAAAGCTCATGTGTCAGTATCAATAAAATCCACCTCCCATGAGGGCATTTGAAAACTTCCAACAAGGCATCCAATGGATCGATGATGTAGAATTTACAGATCCCCCGAGGTAGAATCTCAGTCATCCCATATCCATAAAAATATTCCAAGTGTCTCTTCTTTTTTATCAGGGAAAACTCTTTGCTCCCATATCTTTATAACTTAGCAAAGAGTTCCCTCCTATTAGCATGGTTCCTAAATCGGTCATGATAAAAAAAAACAAATAAATAAATCTAGAAAAGCAAGCAGAGAAGTCTTCCACCATGCTCTGGGCATGAACACCCATAAATCCATGCATGTACTTGACGGTAAGTTCTTTCTAAAGGATCAAACCCATTGCAACAAAAACAAATATGAGGCATCTAAAAAAGATCGCCAACCAAAATGGCGACCAATCCTTAGCCCAGCAAATGTACCGCAATAAAACCACTAAGAAAAATCACAATAAGATCGAACGCCAGCATGATACTGTACATAGAAACTAAAACTCCAATATAACCTGCTTTATTTAGGAATTTATAGCGGTCTACTCCTCAAAATTGTCCTTTCACAAAAATCACTTTTAGCGAACATTTACCCCCCGAGTCAAACAAAAACCATTCAAAAAATGAACAGATTTAGAGACCACTTCAACATTTTCAATTTTGTCGGCGATATCATATCAATCAACAACTAAACACAACTAATTAAGCTAATTAAAAGCTAAACGGGTATAAACAGAGCGATGGAAGCTACCTCTAGGAATCGCGCCTCCTGCTCCAAATGCTTCAGCTCGGCCAAGATCCTGTGCTTTCCCCTCGTGTCCGCGGACGTCGGAGGGTTCATATCGATCGCCGCCGCCGCCGTCGACAACGCGGCCTTCGTCCCCTCTCCATTCGCCTGCATCCCAGCCTCCCCAGATCACTGACTTTTCTACCTCGAACCCGCCGGCTACCACAAGTTGTGCACACGAAATCCAGATTCCCCTAGAACGGTAAGGGAAACGATCATACTCAGAGAGAGAGAGAGAGAGAGAGAGTTTGAAGTTCGATGAGCCTGGAGAAGCTTTATTTAAAAACGAGGAGGTGAGGCGGCCAAAAGCAAGAGACGCAACGAGCAAAACGACGAAAATGGGTAAAAGCAGCTTCCTACCGCTGCTCTTCGTTCAAAAACTGTTTCTGCAGTTGTTTCTCGTGTCCATCGCAATCATAAACCTTAGAAATAATTTATGGAATTTGTTTCATCGAAGAACATTGTGCTCTTAAGCGATGCTCAAGTTTGGATTTGACGAGCAATCATGAACCTTTGAAATAATTTTGTAGAAGCAATCTTTTTGTTCACCCAAACAAAAAATCTTTTTTTTTTGAAAACCTATAAAATGCAACTGCCATAAGTCAATTTATGCGTGCACTCATAAAATTATGAAGCAGTTATAGTTGTATCTTAAAGTTTTCATATAAATTATTTTTTTCCTAAGCAAAAGAAAAAAAAAAATCAAATGTAGCTTTCTTTTAATATTGATATATTCTTTAAAAAAATGATTCCAATCATGCACGAATCCCAAAGCTTTTTGAGCAAGAGTTTGCTTAAAATATGAATTTATAATAATTAGAGATCCAATTTCAACAAATACTTGAACTGAGTGTCTCGACAAGAAAAACTCAATAATGCTAAACTTGGTCATACCCATGTTGAATCAAGCCTAAATCAAACCATGTAAGCACAATATGAGCATTTGGATGGTCCATTTAATAGTCAAATGGATTCCAAATTTGACAAATTTATAGTTAAATCATGCATCTTATTGAGTCGAATCCAACGGGCCCTAGACCACTTGATTCTGACATCATTAAGGTACTCAAATACTCTTAGAACTGCATATGATCAAATAGATCTATATATGCCATCTGATGAAGCAAGCCAGATTCATGTAGTATTTATAAAGAATGTCACTCACAAAATCTATCACCTCCCTTCAAGAAGGGGGGGGCTTGGGACTAAACCTTGACTTGGAGGAGAAGGCCAAAGGGAGATCCAAGCTCTTGAAGATTCTTGAGCTCTACCACATCTACATTGCTGTCAACAAGCTCCACCACAGTCGAACCACCGCAAATCGAGCTCCACCATAACCAAACCACCTCCGTCAAGTTCCACCACTGCCAGGCCAACCAGGCGCCACCGTTAGGCCACTTAGCAACCGTCATCAAGCGACCTCACTCAACCATCGTCGTTGAGCCATTCAATCGATGTTGTTTTCGGGCCGCCCATTCGTTGGCCACCCGACCTCCACTGTTGGACCATCATTACCCGGTGGTCATCGTCCGTTGACCACTACTGCCTGACAGTTGTCGGCTCTGCCATGTCTTATAGGTCATTGTCATTGTCGTATTTGTTTTTAATGCTAGCACCATTGCTAGTGCCACCACTACCTTCTAACTATTGCCACCATTGGATCATCACTATTATTGTCGCCAAACGGATATTGTTTGAGCGCCCCCACTTTCCTGACATATTACACCCCTCTTTTAGCAAAAGTCATGTCGATTGCGTAACATTGCTTTTGGCCAGTTAAGGATCGACAATGTCTTATAACCTATATTAACATAGTGAAATCATTTTAACTGAGCAAGACCATGTGATTTTTTCCCTTTCCGAGTTTTTCACTTACAAACTCTTACTATCTTTTCTGTAAATTTCATCTTATATGTGTGTTTGATGGATATCAATATATCGCCACGAATTTATATAGACACAATCGCTTAGCATTGTCTATGTGAAAGATAATGCCATCATCGAAGAATTTATAAAACTTTTGAAATAGCCAACATACGTAATACTCACAACAATAGAGCATTATCTTCTAGCATCTACCACTCTAAGAGGCAATTACGAATTCAAGGACGTTAAACATCTGCTTCTTTACTCCATAAAGATAATGCCATCATCGAAGAATTTATAAAACTTGTGAAATAGCCAACATACGTAATACTCACAACAACAGAGCATTATCTTCTAGCATCTACCACTCTAAGGGGCAATTACGAATTCAAGGAAGTTAAACATCTGCTTCTTTACTCCACCTAATTGAACGAACCGAAGACGAACTCATTGACGAACCGAACACGAACTGTTTACGAACAATGAGTTTTTTTGACAGCCCTATGTGCAATCAATGATTGAGTTACAAAGTAGTAAAATTGAGTAAGCCAAATTCGAAATCCAAAAATATGGAGACCATACTTTTATTAAAATGATCCAAAATAAAAATATAATTTGATTTAATCAGTTTTATTTTGAGTAAATTAAAATTTTAAATTAAGCCTAAAATCATTAAACATCAATTTTATATTTTACAAAAATTATGTTGTGTGCTCAATTTTAATTTTTTTTTTTATATCAATTTAAATCTATAATTCTAATACCATTCGGTTTTTGGTTTATTTGCTTTAATGAAGATCGCAATTGATTTAAAATTCTAAAATTGAATTTTTGTAATTTAAGATAGTCTTATAATTGAATTGAATTAGCCAAAAGAGTGTGGCTTGATTTAGTTTTATATATATATATATATATATGATTTAATTTTTGATCAAATAATATTCACTTCTAGTTGATTAATATTATGTGGTCACGACTATGGGTGTAAACGAGCCGAACACGAGTGAGCTTGGGCTAAGCACATTTTTCAGGTCGTTAAAAAGTAATGGTTCATGTTCAATTAGTTTATATTTTGAACAAAAAAAAAAATTATTCGTGCTCGATTCATTTGTCGAGCTGTTTACAAACAAAAAGCTATTCTGACAACCCTAATCATACATACAGTTGTTGGGGTGTAAATGAGCCAAGTTTGAGTGAGTCCAAGCTCAGTTTGTCAAGAGCTATCATTATTCGTATTCGGCTCGTTTATATATTTAGCTCAAAAAATTTGTTCGTGTTTTGCTCGTTCTTGAGCTAGCCCAGGCTCAATTTGTTAAGAAATATTATTGTTACTGTTCGGCTCGTTTATATATTAAGCTCAAAATATTTGTCGTGCATAGCTTCTTTTGCATATCAAGTCGAACACGAGTTGTTCACAAACAATAAGTTTTTTTTGAGAACTCGAGCCACACGACTGAAGGATGTTAAGGGAAGGGCAAGTTTTAAATATTATTATTTATATTAAAATATTTATTTAAATTGAATTTAATATATTTTTATTCTATTTTTAGTTAGTAATTTTAATTGATTATAAACCTTTGTAGCATTGCATTCAATTAAATTGTGTGTGTGTCTGTGTGTGTGTGCGCGCGCGCGCGCGTGTGTGTATTTATGTTGTTATAGCCAACACAAATAACAAAAATCAAAAGACCTAAGTTTGCAAATGATTCTCGCATCCAAAAATTTTAATTCTTAAGCTAATAGCTTACTTTCTTAGGAAGCAGCTATTGCCTTTCAAACCAAACTTTATGACATAATTGTGCTAAGACATGCGAATCTTAATGTTGTTGGAAATAAAAAGGCTCGAGCTTACACCACAAAGAAAAAAATCAACATGTAATAACCATGACCAAATATTAACCACACATATATAACCAATAATAATTGATTGATCTCACTTTTTGTTGAGGTCTACTCTTTCTTCCTTAGAAGCATAGGATCTAACCATAGGATTTTTCTGTTGACTATCCTAGAGGATTAATGATGGAGCCCTACCTCATTAGAAATTCTAAACACTTCTTTATTTTTCTTGAAGATCCACATGTTTGGTTTTGATCTCTAGCACTTAGTAGGTTGAAACAAGCATGGGGCAGCTCAAGTGGAGTCCCTATAAGACAATTTGGCTATAGGGTTAACCCAAGGTAGTGTGGTCTTTGGCAGTCTACAATTCAAACAAAATTGTAAATCAAAAAGTTTACTTTCCAAAGTTAAAAAGTTTTTGTTACCTATCCCCGACAACAGCGTCAAAAACTTGACCTGACCTGCAATTACGTGTATTTTTAATCTCCAAAATATTGTCAAAAACTTGACCAAAATTATATTCAGCAATTAGTATGAATAAATGAAATGATATGAAAAATAAATAACAAAATGTCACACTAGTGGCACTACGCAATTATACGTATCATTTTAAGTCATATATAATTTTCCTTATAAACCAGTATCGCTCCAACGAGGATAGTTGGACTATTTAAATTGGCTTGCTAACTCAAAAGCAAATTTTATTTAATTTGCAAATTTAAATAAATAATGGTTAAGACTAAATTAAGCAAATAAAAACAACTATATTTAATAGTTTAATAAAAGTAGTTCTAACAAGTTTGAATAATATGTAAAGATAATACAAGTTTGAATAATATGTAAAGATCTTTTCCCTTGCAATGAGATATTAATTTATGTAGGATTTGAATGACTAAAAATATGATGATGTATTGTGACAAATAAGAGCAATCCTAATCTTTAACCCCTCCCAGTGCTAGCAAAGAACATTGGCTAATTTAGAGTTTTTCACCAGCTTATGTAGTAGTGTTGAGTAGATTTTGGCCTCTCACCTCTAGATTACCCACTGTGTCCTCTCTATAGGACCTACTAAGGACCCTTACAATGCAAACTTTAAACCGAATTTGAAAAAGAATCTAGTCTATCACCCTAAAAACATTAATTTTACGCCTATCAAAACTTATCTCTCTATCTATTTGCGCTCTCCCTTAGGTGATCGCAATGACTCTGCCCAAAATAAAGTGTGAAACTCACTAGTTGGGTGAAATCATAGCCCTCCCGAGTCTTTATGTTTCTCAATAGATTTTAACCTCAAAAGTGACCAATTTGTAAAGTCAATGAAGAATCTGTGAAAATGTCATCAGAATTTTTTAAAAAGTAAAAAAAGAAATCTTTAAATAATTCTCATCCCATAAGATTAAATTCCAAGGGCAAGGAGAAAGAAAGGGGGCTACTTAGAATTCTTGGAGAATAAAACAAAAACACCAAATTTGTAATAAAATTCAAGTCTTAGATATAAAAACTTAAACACAAATACAGAGTACCTTATGTCTTCTCCCCAACACTAATTATGGAGTTTCCTTGAAGAATTCTCCAAACTCTTACTCTTACAAAACAATACACACTAAAACATACACCTAAATACAAAAGTGAGACTTCCTAAAGCCTTCAAATGCTACTAAAAAGTCCTCTTTTCATCCAATTTTCTTCCATATTAATAGATCTCTAAAATTAACTAAGGGTTGATTCAAAAACCCCTTCAAAAATTGGTCAAATTCAATGGATCTTCTAGAAGGGAAGTTACTGGCGCTATAGCGCCAGTTTGGGCACTATAG